CCCTCACAGGTAGATAATAATAAAAAGGTAACATTTGTATAGGGAAAATCCCCTCTCAACAGCACGCTCTATGCGCTTTACAATCTATAGTATTACCCCAGGAGACCTGATAGCATTCTGAAACAACCTCAACTTCCTTGAAGTATAGAGAGCAAGCTGCTATTTTGTAGGCGCCAAAAACACTGACATGCTGACAAGTTCTTTCGCTGTCTACGCTTGGTACCCATTCCCACCTGGGAGAAGGGAGGAGAATTCGTGTAAAGTTCCTTTCCCAGCGACACAACGTCGGGCCTGAGGCTCGAACCCCGAACCTGCACCCTCACGATTACGAGTCTGGCCCAACAACTAGACTACTAACGCCACAAGATAGAGCCCATAAGGCTTTAGTCTGTTGGCCTGACAACAAACGTCTTCTGTCTTGTGGCTATAATATCATACCTTTGGTTTTCGTAAACGTTTACGGCACTTGCCACACAGTAACGTCATAAGGACCTCCGAGATTTTTCGCACTTGTCTGAGAAGGGTAGGTGTAGATCTTTCCTACCAGAAGATCAGGGGTGTGACTGAAAGACAACAGTAAGAAGGAGCCAATGAGTAGCAGTAGAAAGGCTGCCGAAAGAGTCAGAAGCCCAGAGGAGGGGATAAAGGAGGTGAGTAGATGGGAGCAGAAAGTGGAGACAAAAGCAGACGACAGAACATTGCTAAATAGCAGGAAAGGGGATGAAATGAGACAATTTTAGAGAAGAAACTTCTTTCGTCGCTACCAGTATTCGAACCCATGACCTTTGAATGCGAGGCGAACACCAGATCCTATAGGCCACGAGAGCCCCCTTTCGTTCGCCGAGTGGGGAGGGTTTTTATTATTTCGTTCTTTCTAGATGAAAGCAGACCATAGAACATTGCTAGAGAGCAGGAAAGGAGGTGAAAGGAGACAATTTTAGAGAAGAAAATTTTTTTTGGGTCGCTACCAGTATTCGAACCCGGGACCTTTGAATGAGAGGCCATAACCTTAACCTCTAGGCCACGAGAGCCCCCATAGGTAGACTTTGACCCTACCTACCAAAAGCCATACAGCGCTGAGAGGGACACAACGTCCCAGCAAATAAACCAAGATACAACACTCCATGCTCTTCCCACACTGGAATCGAACTCGAGTCTTCTGCGCGTTCCAAGTTAAAGTGTTCAACCTCTATTTTTCATAAGAATTATACGGCACTTGCAACACAATAAGGTGGTATAAGTGCCGAAGATTAGAGGGGTTACAAAGGAAAAACAAAACAACAAAAAACAAAAAAAAGGAGGGGAGATA